GTCTGTCCTGGGCTTGACTGGCTGAGGCACCATCTTGGAGATGCCTTCTCCAAGATGGTGGCCCTCCTCCATCCTCTCAGAGCTCAGGGGACCATGAGCACCCACATTCACAGTGGCACCTCAGCCTCGCCGAGCCTCTGGCTTGGTTCTCTTATCGCAGAAAGGCATTTCATTCTTCGAGATCAGGCAGCCAGGACCCAAGGAGCTGTTTTCCTCCATTGTGCAAGCATGACAAATCATTAATTTTTGATTGATTTGCTTAGAATTATGGGCGCCCCAGCATTCTTTCCGCCGCTGAACAGCTGTATAACAAATGAATATATCAGTGTGCACAAAAGATTGCAGATCTAAGAGAAGCAATTACATTGGCCACCCTCCCCCACCCTCACCCCTTCCCGGGCAGTGAAGGGAGTAAATTTTTACCAGAAATTCCTCAAGTGGCTAAAAAAAAAAAAAAAAAAAAAAAAAAAAAAAAGCCTTTTTATAATTGAATTAAATCTTTATCTCTTCATCTTTTGCAGCAGATTTCCAAACACATACCAGTTCCCCATGTGCTTGGGTTCCATCCATCCAGGAGGAATCTTTAATAATGAAATTTCAACTCGTGAATTAAAACCAAAATGAAAAAACGGGGGGGGGGAAGGCAAATTCTACCCCTCCCTTTTCCCTTTTCCTTTTTTTTTTTTTTTTTTTTTGGTCACTGCTGTTCCTTTAAGATTTTGGAACCGTACCAGTGCACTAAATGTGACCTCCATAACTTTTAAATTAAGAATTTATGCTGGCTTGAAATTTATGAAATATTTCAGCATGAAAGAAAGCCTTTTTCCCTCAGGAAAATTGAGCAATAAATCACAGCACTGTGGATTTACTGCCCTAGAGCCAGCGAGAGATAGGATTTTTTTTTTTTTTTTTTTTCTTCATTCTGAAAAAAAATGTAATCATATAAGACAGCTTAGCTGCTATCCTCCCACTCTCTAGAATTTTTAATTTCAGCTGTTTCTGCTTGGATTTATTTCCAATATTCCTGCTCGGCTTTTCAATTTCCTCAGTTATTAAATTTTAATTCAGTGCATTAGCATTTAAATTAAAAAAGGGTTTATTTTATCGAAATCGTTGGCCAGCCCCCATCCCGTAGCACACGAATTGCCTGTTTCTGCCATTTGCACAAAATGTGAAATGCAGCTAATGTCCTACAACTTACATTTGCACAAATTCAGAAATAAAATTTCTGGGTTTGGAATAATATTTTCTTTCCAAGAAAATCCTTAATAAGAGAATGGAAAAGAACAACTTAACATTCATTTGGGAAGGAAGAGGAGGGTCGAATGAAACCAAAAATAGCTTTGCCCGGGTCCTACGGAGAAACTGGTATAGAAGGAATGGATGGGGCTGGCAAACGGGGGGGGCAGGTGCCCTTATGGAGAGCTGGGGACGTGGATGCCTGTACCCTCCCACCCCCCTTATAAGCGTGAGGAGGAGGGTCTCTCATGGGCCCACTGTGCCCTGCCCCATTTCACTTGCCATAGCAGGGTTTGGTTAAGGTTGGGTCAGCTCCACGTACAGTCACAGAGATGAAGGGCAGCAGGAGATGACCTGATTTAACTCTCGGGCCTTCCTCCCGTCCTGTTTTTACCAGTGAGAATCTCAGGTCCAGGGAAGGGAAGGAGCCTGCCCGCCGTGAGACCCGGACAGAGCCGGGCAGAGCTGCATCTGTCGGAGCACTTGGTCCGGCGGTAGCCACAGTAGAGTTCCCATTGAGTAAGCGGTTACTACACAGAACTGGCCTGCGATTGGCACCTATTTAGCTATACCACTGTATCTGATGTCGTTTCGACCAGCCCTTTGGAAGAAGCGGCAGAGCTGTGGGGTCTGGTGGACATTCATGGGATGCCGACCTGCAGCACAGGATTCAGATCATACCCTGAGACAGGCCAGGAGACCCCTAGAGACAGTATAAGGTCAGCCCTGCCTCTCGCTAATCTGCTGCGTGATCGGTATTTAGTCCACACTAGGTAGTTTTACACGCGCTATCTCGCCGGTCCCAGGAGATCGGTCCTGGGATTGGCATATTGCCATTTTGCACGTGGGAAAACCGAGGCCTTGAGAGTGCAGGTGGCTTGCCAGGAATCCTACAGCTAGGAAACGGCAGAACCAGGGCTCCAAACGCAAGACCATCTCTCTGATGCTACACCGTGTGCTGTTCACCTTCAGTTCAAACCGGGCATCAGGTCAGGTTACACTGGGTAAAGGTGAGTTTGTGGTTTAGGTTGAATCAGGAAATTGGTGCTGTTAGACCATTCGGAAAATGGCCGTGTCAGAGGGTCAGCTTCATTCAGGCGGTAGGTAGTTGCGAGGACACGGACAGAGCTGGCCTGGCATCTCACAGATCTCTACAATTGAGGGTCAGCGCCCTTGGCACTGTGGGCTTCGGGGGCTGGGGGCTGAGAGGCTGTCCGCAGTTGTCATGGTGGGTCTGCACTCAGGCAGGCCCATGTGCCATGATTGACGGGCGCTGTGATTCAGACACATGGGAGCTTGGACATCTCTCACTTGGGCCCGTTGTCCGTGGATACGCCCACCCGCATCAGCTCCCCGGATCCGCCGGTATCTGGGCACATCACACCTGCCCAGGTGGTGCTCCTCCTTCCAGCAGCTCCATTTCTCCTGTTGCTCCACCTGAGTTTGCAAGGATTTGTTTGGACAACTGTCTGAACATTTTTAGCATTTTGCTTTATAAAAATCGGTGGAAAACAAAACTGAGTGTTGCCACTGGTGGCAAGAAGCACAAGCATCACAGACATAATAAAAGGAAAACGGAGGTGGAGATGACTAGGTGTGCCAGAGACAGAGCATCTTTTCTTCTCCCCAGCCCCATGTTCACTGTCCACATGTGGTTGACTCTGGGTGAAACTGGGAAGGAAAGGACAGAGGAAAAAAACACACACACACACACACACACACACAAATATGTGCGCAATGCTAGAAATACATGTCCAGAGTTGAGTCTGAAAGATGAGAGATCATTTGGGATTTTACAATTTTTTTTTTTAAGCTCTCTGGGGCAGAATTTCCACCCCTTAACCACTTCTGCCTCTTCTGATATGAAGATTAAAAGAACTTCTTCCCATTCACTTTCCGTCGAAGTTTTGAGGAATGCAAGATGTTGGAGGGAGGCGGTAATTGATCCTCTTCTTTTGCTCCCAGTGAAATGATATGCAAACCATTTTCCGCTTTCTTGTTTCTGCCACTGAAATAATACACCAGCATCCCATTAATTTTCCCCTGCCAGGCCTCACATTTCTACCTCCTTGTTTGTCCTTCGTCTTTGCATTTCCCTCATGCGGGCAGCGGGGGCTGTGTGGGACATTGACAAGAGCCAGTCACTTCCCGATCGGCTCTTCTGAATGTTGGTGGGAGAGAGGATGTTCCAGAGCTGAGGAAGGTGGGCACGGGAGTGACCCAGACCTGGGCATGTAGCTGTGGGCTGTTGGATGAATGACTTAAAATTCTTTGACTCTCGTTGCCTCACTTGTAAAATGGGGATATTGCGTACGTGTGTTGGGGGACCCATCAGGAGGGTTGAGTAAGAAGCATTAAATGTGCATACACTGGCACCCCAGGGAAGGTTAGCTAGGGGATCGAGTCTGGATACCCCTGGGAGCCAGGCTGGACGGCTGGGTGTAAGACAAGAGGGAGCGGTGGGGACTGTGGAGAAGCAGGCATGGCAGCTGTAGCTGACTGTGGTCATGTGTGACTGAGTGCTGCTTTCACTCCCTGCAGTCGGGCCGCCTTTTGGTGAAATCCTTTTATTTTTCTGTATTGACTGTTTGAATTGAAGTCCGCCATCTGGTTTTGCCAGTTTGCAACTTCTTGAAAACACTCGTCAGAAGGTAGCTGCTGTCGTTTTTATTTTAGATCCGCAATCCTGAAATTCAAAAAACTTGAAAACAGGAAGATTTTTTTGTAACTGATGAGGTGGCAGGACTTGACCTGAAGGGAGAAGAGACTAATTCTGTCTTCATTTATCCTCCATAGGGCTGACTGCATGGGTTTCACTGTGGAAATACCACTGTGCTTGAGTCTGGGCTTGGGGGCAGGGTGGGTGGGGGGCTACCCAGATCCTGCCAGGGTTGTTTCAAAATACAGAACACACGCGCTACATTACCTTTCTAAACTTGGAAGGATTCTGAATTTGGAAACATGTGTGTGCCAGAGTTTGGAACCTGCGTTACTCTAACTGTGATTACTGTTGTTATAAATGCTTTGACAAAGCCAGGGAAGGCATCTGCGACCCGGGCCTTCTTTCCATGTGTACAGCCTCTGCGGCAGAGGTCCCCCCAGCCCTGGCCTTGGGGGTCAGGTGTTTGTCATTCAGTCCTCCTGAGACTTCAGGCAGCTCCCTCCTGGCACAGGGCCTAAGTCTCTCCATCTGAACCCGAATTTTGTGATTTCTGAAATTTTCATTTGGTCGGCCTTATCTCCCCATCCTCCTCCCCAGCCCCAAATAGAAGAGATTAAGAACCGGCACTCTCTTGTCCCTCCCTGCTTAGTGGGGTTGGGGGACAGAATATTTGAACATAATAGGATTTTCCCCCTCCGGTTGGTAGGAATAAATCTGCGGCTACTGTTTTATTGGAAATCCCAGATGAAAATAAAAATGGTGCAATTCAATCTCAGATTTAGCTGGTTACTTACTTTTCACTGAGTCCCCAGGGCCCTGTGGTTGCTGGGTTTGTGTTGGCAGTGGGTGCTCAGCTGGATTTAAAGGGCCAAGCAAATTCCGGGGGTGGGGGGGTGCAGGGTGAGGGGGTAGCGGTGTCCTGACTCCCTCTTACCACTAGGGGCAGATTTTCCCAGCCCGCAAGAATGGAGCAGGGGCTTGTGCTCGCTCTCCCCTCTGTCTGAAGGCTCGTGTTGAGGGGGAGCTTGGTGGGGTGGCAGTGGGTAGAATCTGGGTTTCCCCCCTTGGCTGATGTAGGTGTTTTGGGTTTCTCTTGCAGGCTGACGGAGCCAGTGCAGCTGGAAGGAAAAGCACCGCGAGCAGGTACACTCCCTTTCCCTTGCCCCTAGTTGTACCCCTCCCTCTCCCCATTTCACAGCCAACTGCCATCTCTCTCTGAAAGGGGATGGATGGGTGGTCCAGGCCAGCTCCCTTGGCTGAGAAGTATGCATACTTCCCTGGGGGAAGTGCGATTATGGGCAGCACTTTGCAGCCTTCCTGGTACCCCCTCGGAGCACCCATGAATGCACCAAGGACGACTAGGTCCCAAACAGGCCTTTGGGCGCTCAGGTCGGGAGTAAATTAGAGGTGAAGCACAAGAGCGGGCAGGAGGACCAGGCTTGAATCCCATCTTGCAATCCCCCTGCTGTGTGGTGACCTCCGGAGCATCCCGACCCATCCTGGTCTGGAACCCATTGGCCCAGCTTGGGTCCCGTGCTCATTTTCCTGAACCAGTCACCCCACAGCAAGGGGAGGGAATACTCTGCTTAGCCAGCCTGGGGTTGTGTCCTCACCCTGGGAGCTGGCAGGAGATGGGAGGAGGGTGGCACCTAAAGGAAAGCTGGGCTGTCATTACCAGAGAAGGTGGGAAGCTGGGGCAGCCGCATGACCTTTACTGGGGGCCACCTGGGCACACTGGAGGCAGGAGGAAGGCAAGGGGCAGACCAGAGATGGCGCTCCAGGCCGCACGCACGCACGCACATGAGATGTGGAATAGCTCTTGGATTACCTCCTGGAGTTGGGGGCAGAGGAACTTGCCCTGTAGCCCTCGAACACTAGTTCTTTAGAATGTTGAGAGATTTTTGTGGACAAAAGGAAGTTTGTGGCCAAGCAAGTTTGAAGGACATAGGTTAAACAAAGTCAACAGATTTCTTTGCGGAGGGACCTCTTACTTAGTCTTTCGTGGGCTAACGTGTGCTGGAGGACATCGGAGAGGAGATGCCATGTTTCCCAAACTTGCCTAACCATGGAACCCTTTTGTCGAAGTTCAGCTGTGGAGCAAGTATTCTTGGAACATGCTTTGGGAAACCACAGGAAGCCGTTGCTCTTTGAGAAAGAGTAACATGTTTGGCTGTGTGTTTTGGGAAGATCACCCAGGGACCCCTTTGCAGGGTGGTTTGGAGGTGGACAGAATGGTGGCAGAGATGCCAGGCTGGAGGTCATTGAGATCCGCACCACCCAGCACAGCCTGGCTCCCCCCCCCCCGCCTCCTCATGTGCCAGTCTCCCCCTTGCTCAGTCTGTCTTAGCTACCCTGACCTTCTTTCTGTGTAGCTAACACTCTATGCCAGCGATCGAGCAGCTTTACCTGTAAGGGGACAGATAGTAAATACCTGGTGCTTTGAAGGCCGTTGGTCTCTGTGGCGACCTTTCTCTGCCAGTGCCTGTGCCGGGGTTTGCCGGCCCCTGGCCTCAACTGACTGTCGCCCAAGAGCCTTTGCAGCTGCTATTCCCTTTGCCTGGCATGTTCTTTCTCTGATCTTCTTCTACGTCTTGACTCCATCCTGCCCTCAGAGAAACCTTCCCTGCACCTCTCCTTGAAGGGCCTGTGGCCGGTGTCCCTCCTAGGCTCGTCACGCTCGCTCTTTATTGCGCGTGTTTGTGTAACTTTTGCGACTTCTCCCCTTAGGGTGCCAAATCCATGGGCAGAAACCTCTAGCAGGTGCTCAGTGTTAATGGGACGGATACCCTGAATGGGATGGAAGGAGAAGTGGGGATGATGTAGGGGCTGGCAGTGTGGGCTGGAATGGAGGGGTGGGCCGCCAGGCTTGGGCCTGTGACCGCTGGCAGGGACGCATGGGGCCAGCAGCTGCCCAGTGCCGTGTGTCTCTCTCCCGGGCCCCTGGCTGTGGGGTTTTGTGTGAGGAGCAGTAGTACATGAGGCTGTGGTCTGTGGGGGCAGTGGGAGTCCCTAGACTGGGGGCGCCTGGACGTGCTTCCTGGATTGGAATGTCGGACTGGAAGGGCCCTTGGGGTTTGTCTCGTCCCACCCTCTCATTGGACACAAGGGGAGGGACGGCCCTGCTCGAGGTGACGTGATGAATAAGGGGCTGTGTCAGGCCTTGAACCTGCCAAAGCAGGGTACTTTCTCTACCCACCAGTTCTGTGCTTCAGTGAGGGTCTGGCCAGCTTCTCCCACTGTCCTCCGTGTTCATTGTGCACCTGCTCTGATGGATTCGAGGCTAATATAGTCACCCTTGAGTGTCTATAGAAGCGGACAGAGGCAGACCTCCATCTTTTTCTCATGACTTTCATGCTTTCTGTTGCATGCATTTCTCCCACACCAGGTCAGAAGACAGCAGACAGGTTCCTCCATAGTGGTAGTAGGTGCCCCAAGCTCCGAACTGAGTCTTACCAGCCATGGGCTGCAGTCGGCGTGCGAAGAGTGCAGGGATAGATTAGCGATGCCTGCCTTGGTCAGAGGAGGGCGAGGATGGCATGTGTGCCGTCTCTTCGCCCTGCCCGACTAGCCTAGGCTTGCACGTACTCAGTGATGGAGCCCCTGTGTTACCGCCCCAGTGCCAGAATATGCACCAGGAAGGGGGCCAGCCCAAGTCTTAGGGTTGTGTGTGACTTGAGACGTAAAGAAGAAATTTCTAATAACGACTACCGTTTCAGTCAGCACTTCTATGTCAGGCTCTGAGCTAAGTGATTTGATTTATTGTTAACTTACGCAATCTTTGTTAGCGGCCCTACGAAGGTGGTACTCTTATCATTCCCACTTTACAGATGGGGAAGCTGAGGCGCAGAGATGTGTACGGGCCTCAGGCCGCCCAGTGGGAAGTGAGTGAGCGAGCCAGGACGCCGCCCCGGGTCTGACTTCCCTGATGTGTGTGCTTAACCCCCGTGTCCTCCGCCTTCTCAGGATGAAGTGGTCAGTTAGCAGATGACAGAGGAGTCTCTTAGGGGCTGGGGGCTCTGCCGTGGGCTAGGGGCTTGTCAAGAAGGCAGGGGCTTCGAGGGAGCTCAATAAGTCAGTTTATATCAATTATGTAATTAAAGCTGATGTAGAGCATGTTTGAGACTCCTAAACAGTATCATTGTATCGCGATCCGGCATTCAGTCTGAGAAGTGAATTACGCGTTACACGTCGAGAGAACATTAACATGGGCCTACGCTGAGGCCACTTGTGCACTCGACCCTGGCCTTGGCCTTGTAGGGTTTAGACTTGTCGGCACTGGGCAGAGTGTTAGACGCATTTAGTCCCTGTTTCAGATGGAGAAACACAGGCGTGAGGCTCTGCGACCCTGGCCGGGAAGGACCTTGAAGGACCCCCGGCCCTCTGATGAGGGCCTCCACTCCGGGCTGTGCCACGGAGCACTTGGTTGTTGCACCGGGGTCTGCTTTCTTCCCAGCGCCTGTCTTTGGCCCAGAACACCTAATTTTGTTACTTCTCCAGAGGGCCTCTGGCTGAGCCCCAAAACCAACAGCATGGACTACTAAGGAATTAGTGTTAAATTGAGGGGGACAAAGAGGGGTGGTGTTTCTGATCCTAAGAAACAACCAAATGTGGTTTGGTTTACTTCTCTGTAACCCAGCCTGAGTCGGTTTTTACAGGACCGGTGATCCCAGCACTGGAGGTTAATGCTGACCTGGTGTGCAGGTTACAGATCACGGCGCGCAACGGCAGCCAAGCCTCACTTATGCTAAGAGGCGTGGGGGCCGTGGGGCCTTAACCCGGGAACATTCTAAAGGAAGTGCGGTTTTTATAATCAAGTAAACGTAGCTGCAGGCTTGTGGTAATGAGTTCTGCCCTTTTTTTGTCAGTTGAAGGTTTTCAGAGCTGATAGGGTTCTGTAGATGAGAGAATGGAGTAACTGTCTCTCTCATTTTGGAGATAGGAAACCAGGGATAGAGGAGGTTAAGGGACTCATTTGTTTGCTGTGTGGACCAGTCGCCTCACAAGCAGTCGGGATCTTGTAGTCAGATTTGGGGCAGGGTGGGGGAGCGATTAGACCCAATCTCTTTCATTCATTCATTCCACAAATACATAGTGCCTACTAAGTGCCAGGATCTGACCTTGGTGCTGGAAATACAGCACTGAACAAAACAGAAATCTTGTGGAGCTCATAGTCTAGTGAGAGTGGAGGAGACGTGATCAATACGTAAATTGTATGGTACGTCATAGGATAAACAGTGCCGCGAGGTGGGTGGAGCGGGGAGCAGGGTGGGGGATTGGGAGAGCCAGAAGGAGTAATGCATCACCAGAAGGTGACATTTGAACATGGATCTGAAGGAAATGAGGGACTGAGCCAAGCAGTCGTTTAGGAGAAACACACTGAGGTGCAGAGAACAACAGGTGCAAAGGCCCTGGGGGCAGGAATGTGTACATTGTGTTGGAGCAACAGCAAGGAGGCTAATGTGACTGATAGGGCTTTGGAGGCTATTGTCAAGATCTTGACCTTTACCCTGTGTGAGATATGGGGAGCCACTGGGGATTTTGAGCAGAGGGCTGGCATGATATTGATTTGGTTTTAAAAGGATCATACCGGCTGCCAGGAGGTGAATACACTGCAAGGGGCAAGATTAAAGAGGTGTTGCCAAGGGTTTGGGATAGGCAGGACCTTAGAAGGTTGGCTTGGAAGTGAGTTTCCGAAAGGCCGTATCTTTTCAGGTCTGAGGAATCCTGTTCAGCAAAGTGTTGTGTGAGTTCTCCATCCAAAAATGCACGCTTCTCCGTGGCTGGTCTGCAAGATTTCTCCCTTGCCTTCTCTCTAGCCCCGCTAAGGGCCAGGCACAGTGTTGAGGAACCCAGACTGCCTGGGTTCAGTTCCTGGGGCTACCCACTGCCTAGTTGTGTGACCTTGGGCTACTTAACCTGACCTCAGTGTCCTCATCTGTAAAATGGGAGTGATATTAGACCTTCACTCATAGTGTTGTCAGTGAGGATTAAGTGTAATAATAATAGTAATATACATACCCTTAGCACAGTACCTGGCCTGCAGTAGGTGTTCAATAAGCGTTTATTTTTTATCACCACCATGCTAGATTCCCTTCCTAGGAGGAGATAGCAGTGGGATGGCGATTGATTTCTTGTCGAGGCTG